ATTTATACATCCATCCCTGTATTTGTCTTTATTTCTCCATTCATCTATCTACCCACTCAATGCTTTCCATATCTCCATATGCTTTTCTGAATCTGTTGTATACTTTCTATTTTTCTAAGTTTCTCTCCCTGTCTCTTGTCTCTCTCTCTTCCTCTTTCTCTCTATTCTCCGACCTCTTTCTCTCCATTCAAAGTTGCTCCTTATCCAGGTACTTTAGGCATGATCTTTTCCTCTGTCCTGTCTAAGGTCAAGAAATACGTCCCATGTGTCAAAGTTATATGCCTCGCTAAGACAGTAAAACATTTATGTATGGCTCAACCAAAGGTCATCCCTGTTGCTACTTGATGAAAGACAAAGTACTGAAAGAAAATTATGCATGGGTCTCTTGCATTTCCACATGAGTGAGGCACCAAACGCTCTTTGTTTCAGATATTTTCCAAGATGTTTGTACACTGAGCAGCCTTGGAAGACAAAGATAGTGTCTTCCTCTGAAGTGGAGGACCAGTTTGCTTACACCCTTGGAAGATAGCAGTAGTATCTCCTTCTGGAGGAAAGGGCAGGCATCCTTACTATCAAGGGTAAATAAGATAATGCCTCCAGTGAGCAAAGGGAGGGCATACTTGTCCAATATGCAATTCAGGTTCTTTACGCTTAAGGTTTTTCTCTTGTAATGCAAACCTACTGCGTGTACAGACATCTATTTCGGCATCTATGTAGCCCCTGTTGGACTTGAGGGTCAAGAGAACTGAAAAAAATGTGCTAGTGCTCATGCTGCTTGCTATGTCCTCAGTAATAAAGTCCTGTATTCTGTGTTCTGCCGGCATCCATAAAAGTGCAGCAGGCTCATTAGCTTGCAAGTGGCTAAAATCTCAGCCCACAGTTCTTACCTCAAAGCTGTGCCCTTTTTCATCCTGTCTCATAACAGTGCCCTACTGGTCATCAAAAGTTGCTTTTTATATTATATATCTTGAAAAGGAGAATGTTTTAGCCAAATTCTTCCAGCTTCCTATTGTCAGTTGGAAAATGAAAACTAACGCAACAACAAACTCAGGTATCCCTGACCCATCTGCTGTTTCAATGAGGAAGAAAACCCTTTTTGTCCATGCACTTCACAATGCTTCCCTTTCCTCCTTAAACGTAATTTGGTGGAATGATTTGTCACTTGGGTGTGACTGGGCATGTTCAAGTTTTGCCACCTTTCCAAAGCCAGTATGTCAGAAGGATCACATGTCTGGAAGGGCTAAATCTGGAGATGTATGGTTAAATCTAAGAGTATGGTTCTATCAGACGTGCTAAGTGACCCAGCTCACACCCTCTCAGCCTCACCTCTGATCTCAGCTGTGGCTGCAGCAGGCAGATTCTTACAAGCTTTGACTTACCTCATACCCACTGAGTCTCATCTCAGTTGCCTTCTGAGTCTTTCCCTTTCTATTTTGAGGTTTCTCTGATGTTCCAAAATCAAGTAACAGTCTACTCCTCAGGCATGAATGCATTCTTAGAAGTACAGGGCTCATAGTGCCCCAGGGATGACCCTCAAACACAGGGGCATGAGGGCTGATGGATAAGTATGTTTTGAGGTTTGTTCTTTGGTGGAAAATTCTGAGAGACATCTAAAAGTAGTTGAGAAAGCCCTGAAAAGGAACAAATCCAAGGAGCCCATAGCAGTGACCTCAACAAAATCACTTCCCCTGGCTTTTTCCTCCTTTTTTTTTTAACTCCCCCTTGTCCCTCTGTCCTTGTCTCTGAGATCACCTCACAAACTACCTGTACACAAGTTCTTGCCTCAGGTTCTACAAGGTAATCCAGTGGTAGAGAGTAGAAAGACCAAGGTCTCTGGAACCAAACAGACTTGAGTCTATATATCATCTCCTCCACTTTCTGGCTGGGAGAGCTTGAACAAGTCGCTTAACTTCTGTGAGCTTTAATTTCTTGATTTTTAAGACAGGAAAAATAATACCTTACAGGTGGGTATATTGATTATGGATAAAAAAATAAAACATGCAGTTCTTAGCACAGGGTCTATCACAGCATCTATGTTCAACAAATAGCAGCAATTATTGTTATTATAGCCTGAGCAAAACCAAGGGGCACCCTGGAAATTAGGGGTGCAGAAATGGTGATATTTTGACTTCTATGACTATCCAGGGACTGCTAAGCTGCAGGACTTTATCAGTTGAAGGACCCAAAACTACATGAATTATTTATAAATTACTGTTTATAGAAATGGTTACATCATAAACAGCTTCTGGATTCCATAAATTTATTTATGCACATGGGGGGAGATAATACATTTGAAGAATTAAGCCATGTTGTTGCTTTTTTTTCTTCTGATTCTTTCTATGGCTTGTTGTCTCCTCGGTCCTGTCAGCTAATCACGGTGCATTTGTGGCCCCAGGGAAGGGATGATACAGCAGAAATGTAGAAGTTAAAAAAAAAAAAAAAAAGATTTAAATAAGTCATTCAGAGAAAGACAGATACCATATGATTTCACCCATATGTGGAATTTAAGAAACAAAACAAATGAACAAAGAAAAAAAGAGAGAAACAAAAAACAAACTCTTAAATATGGAGAACAAACTGGTGGTTGTCAGAGTAGAGGTGGGTGGGGGGGAGGGGTGAAACAGGTGAAGGGGATTAAGAGTACACTTATGATGAGCACTGAGTAATGTATAGAATTGCTGAATCATTATTTTGTACACTTGTACACTAATATAACACTATATAACACTATATAATGTTAATTATACTTGAATTAAAAAATGGTAAAAAAAATTTTAAAGATCCAGTTTATTTTCATAAACCTAGAGCAGAGGTCAGAGCTTTAGGAGAAAGTCTTTCCTCTTCCATAAATAGTAGGGATTTCTCCGAGCTTAAGGAAAGTTAGGGAGAGTGAAGTTCAAACAGAGCATGGTGAACCCACATGGTCAAGGATCGAGATAGAATCCAGTGATGGCCCAGCCTCTCTTGAGTGGCCTCCCTGGGGTCTGTGTGGGATACAAGTCAAATTCCCCAAATAGCCCAATACATTGCAGTAAGTACTGTGTGTTTCCTCTGATGGGAAAATATGTTTGTTGTTCTTCTAGCTATCATCCACTGAAGACCTGTCCTCAATAGCAGCTAGATTTGCAAATGGTCTCCTGAAACTTTGCTAAGTCAATATTCAACTTACTTGTTGTGGGAAATGCCCTTTTCAGAATTCCAAGACACCTACAAGACCCTAAATGAAAGGTAAGCCCAGGTGTGGAGATGGGAGAGGGTTATGGCTTTTGTATGACTGTCAGTATAGATATGTACCCCAGGCCAGGACAGTAGTAAATCAAACCCTACAACACATGTATTATTTATCAATATATGCAACATTTTTTTAAGATTTTATTTATTTAGGGCACCTGGGTGGCTCAGTTGGTTAAGCGACTGCCTTCAGCTCAGGTCATGATCCTGGAGTCACTGGATCGAGTCCCGCATCGGGCTCCCTGCTCGGCGGGGAGTCTGCTTCTCCCTCTGACCCTAACCCCTCTCATGTGCTCTCTCTCATTCTCTGTCTTAAATAAATAAATAAAATCTTTAAAAAAAAAAAGATTTTATTTATTTATTTGAGAGGGAGAAAGAGAGAGAGAATAGGAGAACAAGAACAGGGGAGAGGGAGAAGGAGAGGGAGAAGCAGATTCCCCCCTGAGCAAGGAGCCTGACATGGGGCTCGATCCTAGCACACTGGGATCATGACCTGGGCCAGGCAGATACTTAACTGACTGAGCCACCTGGGTGCCTCTCTATATGCAACATTTCAAAGGAGTTCAGAACATGCCACCCAAAATATGCCACTCTGCCATATTGACTATCTTGAATTAAAGGCACTTGAAGAACAGCTTACACTAGAAAAATCCTCTTGCCCTTCCTTCTTAAGGGTGGAAGTTGACATTCCCATATGAAAGATACCTTCCCCATACCAAAAGGAAAGTACATTCTTATCAAGAATGAGAAGTTGAGATCAAGTTCAAACAGACCTTGTTAAAATCATTCTTATCTTCCTTTAGTTTCCCCACATAGTTGAGTTAATTTTCCATTATTCTGTCTCTGATCAGCTTAAGACAAAAGCCTAAAGTTCTCTCCATTTCTTTGGTTCTCCATTCCTTAGAAAAGCCTTCCTGTTCTGTAAAACTCATATTAAATTAAAGCGTATGCTTTTATCCTATTAATCTATCTAGTTCAGTTTAATATCCAGGCCCAGCTGGAAACAGACTGAAGAGATTAAAGGTAAAACTTTGCCTTCCCTACAATTTCCTGCATGTTTATCTGGTTTATGCATTGCACACTTTATAGCTTTTGAGAATCCCAGAGAGTAAAAGTCCACACACTTGCGGGTTTCAGCCCCACTGAAGACCATCCCTACGAGAGGTGAGTCATAAACTGACTTTAAATGCACCTTCCCTCTTAATCCCAATGTGTAATTTCCAAAAGAGCTCTACTTTACAGTCACGAATGAGTTGGAAAAATGGGTATCTGGAAACAACACTCTGGCTAGGAGGCCCACCAGGCTGGAAGCGGTCCCCACCAGGCTGGAAGCAGTCTCCACCAGGCTGGAAGCGGTCCCCACCAGCAGCAGAGCCTGCTGATATGCCTTGACTGGACAAGAAGCCTCAGGACTTCTGAGATTTTTACAGTCAGTCAGTTATGGGGGCTTTACCTAGATGGGGCACAAAATATGACCACAGCATACTTGTCCTTCACAATGTCAGTGAGGACCAATGCCCTCTAACTACAGAAATGTCCTTCACCATGAAAGAGGTGGTGAGTCATTCAGGAAAAAGCACTACGTTTCTGAATAACATTGGAGAAATTGTCCTTTCTCTATCCCCATTCCCTTACCCTTTATCCTAGGAAAACATTTTTGTAAGGTACCTCTATTTCAGCCCACTAATTACTGGTACATATTAATTATCAAAAACAGAGTAGCCATTAGCTCAAAACCTAGCAGCTTAAAACAACGAATATTATCTCACCTTTTCTGTGGGTCAGGAATCTGGGTGTATCTTAGCTAAGTGACTGCGGTTCAAAGTCTCTTGTGACGGTGTAGTCAGACCATCAGTTGGGGCTGCATCTCATCTAAGAGGACGCCTCCACCACCTGTGCGTCTCCACAGGCCCTCCTTATAACATGGCACCTGGCTTCCTCCCAGGGCAAATGATGAAAGAGAGAGTAAGCACCCAAGACAGAAGCCACAGTCTTTTTTTTTTTTTTTTTAATTCTAGTATAATCAACATGCAGTCTTATATTAGTTCCAGGTGTCAGTGATTCAACAATTCTGTAAGTTACTCAGCGCTGATCATGATAAGTGTACTCTAATTCCCCTTCACCTACGGCACCCATCCCCCCTCCCACCTCCCCTCTGGCAAACACCAGTTTGTTCTCTATATTTAAGAGTCTGCTTTTTGTTTGTCTCTTTTTCTCTTTGCTCAATCATTTCTTAAATTCCACATATGAGTGAAATCATGCATTTCTCTTTCTCTAACTGACTTATTTCACTTAGCATTATACCCTCTAGATCTATTCATGTTGCAAATGGCAACATTTTATTCTTTTTTATGGCTGAGAAATTTCCATTTTATATTCCACATAGAAGTCACAGTCTTTATATAACCTAATCTCAGAAGTGACATCCCATCATTTGTTTTGTACTCCATTTGCTAGATGTGAGTCAATATGTGAGCCCAGCCCACACTCAAAGCATGGAGAATATGCCAGTGTAAATACCAGGAAGTGTGGAACACTGTGGGTCATCCTAGAAGCTGCGTGCCACAATAAACTCAATTCTATCTATTAGAACCACAAATGTGAGTCACTCTGCCTTCACAGGTTCTCTAGATTGTTCTGTAGTCATTTTATTTTTCTCCATTTCATTCCATGTGTTTGACCTAAATATTTTCCATTCTTAACAGTTTATTTTTCAGTGAGAAACCTGAATTCCTACTTCATGACCAAAGATAAGTCTTCTAACCATTGTCCTCCCTAGCTTCTTTCTTTACTTCAGAATTTACCTGTATTTATATCCAATTCCCTCTTCCTCTCTTGTCTCAGAAAGAAGGGATGACAGTGAGAAAGAAATGTAATTTTGTGACCAGGGATTTCAGCTCAGATCATGATCTCAGGGTTGTGAGATTGAACCCTGCATCAGGCTCTGTGCTGGGCACTGGGCAAGGAGCCTGCTTAAGACTCTCTCTCTTGAGGGGCAGAAAGTATATTGGAGCAAATTATAGCAGAGAAATTCCCTAATTTGGGGAAGGAAACAGGCATCAAAATCCAGGAGACACAGAAAACCCCTCTCAAAATCAATACAAATCAGTCAACACCCCGACATCTAATAGTAAAACTTACGAGTCTCACAGACAAAGAGAAAATCCTGAAAGCAGCTCAGGACAAGAGATCGGTAACCTACAACGGTAGAAATATTAGACTGGCAACAGACCTATCCACAGAGACCTGGCAAGCCAGAAAGGACTGGCATGATAAATTCAGAGCACTAAATGAGAAAAATATGCAACCAAGAATACTATATCCAACTAGGCTGTCATTGAAAATAGAAGGAGAGATAAAAAGCTTCCAGGACAAACAAAAACTAAAGGAATTTGCAAACACAAAACCAGCCCTACAAGAAATATTGAAAGGGGTCTTCTAAGCAAAGACAGAGCCTAAAATAACATAGACCAGAAAGGAAGACAGACAATATACAGTAACAGTCACCTTACAGGCAATGCAATGGCACTAAATTCATATCTTTCAGTAGTTACCCTGAATGTAAATGGGCTAAATGCCCCAATCAAAACACACGGGCTATCAGATTGGATAAAAAAACAAGGCCCATCTATATGCTGTCTGAGAGAGACTCATTTAGACCCAAAGACACCCCCAGATTGAAAGTGAGGGGGTGGAAAACCATTTACCATGCTAATGGACACCAAAAGAAAGCTGGGGTGGCAATCCTTATATCAGACAAATTCGATTTTAAACCAAAGACTATAAATAAGAGATGCGGAAGGACACTACATCCTACTTAAAGGGTCTATCCAACAAGAAGATCTAACAATTGTAAATATCTATGCCCCTAACATGGGAGCAGCCAATTATATAAGCCAATTAATAATAAAAGCAAAGAAACACATTGACAACAATACAATAATAGTGGGAGACATTAACACCCCCCTCACTGAAACAGACAGATCGTCTAAGCAAAAGATCAACAAGGAAATAAAGACTTTAAATGACACACTGGACCAAATGGACTTCACAGATATATTCAGAACATTCCATCCCAAAGCAACAGAAGACACATTCTTCTCTAGGGCCCATGGAACATTCTCCAGAATAGATCACATCCCAGGTCACAAATCAGGTCTCAACTGATACCAAAAGATTGGGATCATTCCCTGCATATTTTCAGACCACAGTGCTTTGAAACTAGAACTCAATAACAAGAGGAAAGTCAGAAAGAACTCAAATACATAGAGGCTAAAGGGCATCCTACTAAAGAATAAATGGGTCAACCAGGAAATTAAAGAAGAATTAAAAAAAAAAATCATGGAAACCAATGAAGATGAAAACAAAACTGTTCAAAATCTTTGGGATGCAGCAAAGGCAGTCCTAAGAGGAAAGTGTATAGCAATACAAGCCTTTCTCAAAAAATAAGAAAGGTCTCAAATACACAACCTGACCCTACACCTAAAGGAGCTGAAGAACAGCAAATAAAGCCTAAACCCAGCAGGAGAAGGGAAATAATAAAGATCAGAGCAGAAATCAATGAAATGGAAACCAAAAGAACAGTAGAACAGATCAACAAAACTAGGAGCTGGTTCTTTGAAAGATTTAACAAGATAGATAAACCCCTGGCCAGACTTATCAAAAAGAAAAGAGAAAGGACCCAAATTAATAAAATCATGAGTGAAAGAGGAGGGATCACAACCAACACCAAAGAAATACAAACAATTATAAGAATATATTATGAGCAACCACATGGCAGCAAATTAGATAACCTGGAAGAAATGAATGCATTCCTAGACATGTATCAACTACCAAAACTGAACCAGGAAGAAATAGAAAACCTGAACAGACCTATAACAACTAAGGAAATTGAAGCAGTCATCAGAAATCTCCCAACAAACAAAAACCCAGGGCCAGATGGCTTCCCAGGGGAATTCTACCAAACATTTCAAGAAGAATTAATACCTATTCTTCTGAAACTGTTCCAAAAAATAGAAATGGAAGGGAACTTCCAAACTCATTTTATGAGGCCACCATTACCTTGATCCCCAAACCAGACAAAGACCCCAACTAAAAGGAGAATTACAGACCAATAACCTTGATGAACATGGATGCCAAAATTCTCACCAAAATACTAGCCAGTAGGATCCAACAGTACATTAAAAGGATTATTCACCACGACCAAGTGGGATTTATCCCTGGGCTGCAAGGTTGGTTCAACATCCGCAAAACAATGTGATACAATACATAAATAAAAGAAAGAACAAGAACCATATGCTCCTCTCAATCGATGCAGAAAAAGCATTTGACAAAGTACAGCATCCTTTCTTGATCAAAACTCTTCAGAGTATAGGGTTAGAGGGTACATACCTCAATATCATAAAAGCCATCTAGGAAAAGCACACAGCAAATAATCAAGTCAAAAAGTGGGCAGAAGATATGAAAAGGCACTTCTCTGAGGAAGATATACAAATGGCTAACAGACACAAGAAAAAATGTTCATCATCATTAGCCATAAGGGAAATCCAAATCAAAACCACATTGAGATATCACCTTACATCAGTTAGAATGGCAAAAATGGACAGGGAAAGAAACAACAAATGTTGGAGAGGTTGTGGAGAAAGGGGAACCCTCTTACACTGTTGGTGGGAATGAGAGTTGGTACAGCCACTTTGGAAAACAGTGTGGAGGTGCCTCAAAAATTTAAAAATAGAGGGGTGCCTGGGTGGCTTAGTCGTTAAACGGCTGCCTTCGGCTCAGGTCATGATCCCAGGGTCCTGGGATCGAGCCCCGCATCGGGGTCCCTGCTCTGCGGGAAGCCCGCTTCTCCCTCTCCCACTCCCCCTGCTTGTGTTCCCTCTCTCGCTGTGCCTCTCTCTGTCAAATAAATAAATAAAAGTCTTAAAAAAAAAAATTTAAAAATAGAGCTACCCTATGACCCAGCAATTGCACTACTGGGTATTTACCCCAAAGACACAGATGTAGTGAAAAGAAGGGCCATATGCACCCCAATGTTCATAGCAACAATGTCCACAATAGCCAAACTGTGGAAAGAGCCAAGATGCCCTTCAACAGATGAATGGATAAAGAAGATGTGGTCCATATATACAATGGAATATTACTCAGCCATCAGAAAAGATGAATACCCAACTTTTACATCAACATGGATGGGACTGGAGGAAACTATGCTAAGTGAAATAAGTCAGGCATAGAAAGTCAATTATCATATGGTTTCACTTATTTGTGGAACATAAGGAATAACATGGAGGACATTAGGAGAAGGAAGGGAAAATGGGGAGGGGGAATTGGAGGGAGAGATGAACCATGAGAGACTATGGACTCTGAGAAACAAACAGCATTTTAGAGGGGAGGGGGGAAGGGGGGATTGGTTAGCCCAGTGATGGGTAATATGGAGGGCACGTACTGCATGGAGCACTGTGTGTTATACGAAAACAATGGATCGTGAATCACCACATCAAAAACCAATGACGTGGGGCGCCTGAGTGGCTCAGTCGTTAAGCGTCTGCCTTCGGCTCCGGTCATGGTCCCAGAGTCCTGGGATCGAGCCCCACGTCGGGCTCCCTGCTCAGCGGGAAGCCTGCTTCTCCCTCTCCCACTCCCCCTGTTTGTGTTCCCTCTCTCACTGTGTCTCTCTCTCTCAAATAAATAAAATCTTTAAAAAAAAAAAAAAAACCGATGACGTATTGTATGGTGACTAACATAACATAATAAAAAAAAAGAGAGAAAGAAAAACACACAGCAGATATCATACTCAATGGGGAAAAACTAAGAGCTTTCCCCCTAAGGTCAGGAACACAGTAGGGATGTCACTTCACCACTGCTATTCAACAGAGTATTAGAAACCCTAGCCACAGCAATCAAACAACAAAAAGAAA